TTTGTTTGAATTTCGTAATTTCTTGAGTTAATTAGTTTGATTTTGGAATTGTAAGATTAGTTTGAATTAGGGTATTTAAGGAGTTGTTTGTTTGGGTATTATTTGAGTTAGTTTGAATTATTATTAGAAGAAGTATCTGATGTCTGGGTATTATTTGAGTTAGTTTGAATTATTATTAGAAGAAGTATCTGATGAGACACTGAATGTTGAGGAAGAAATATCCGAGAATATGGAAAATAAATCATTTGATGACGAAGAATGGGAAGATAATGAAAATGAAACAACTAAGGAGGAAGAATGGGAGAATGATGGAATTGAAACAAGCGAGGAGAAATAGTGTAGAATGAAAGCTAGCTAATATATATATGTAAGTGTATTTTGCTAATTTTATTTAATTTATGATTTTTATATATATTATACATGTAAATTTGCATACAGATGTCATCAGGCGGTGACGGTGATAGACATCGTGAGCATCTTGGAGTTAGCCAGACTAAATAGGCTAAGAAGAAGAAGTCTAGGAGACTCATAGATCTTGAGGATATTGCAAGATCTATTTCTTTTGCGCCAGAGCGCATCAGCTATGATACTCATTTATTTGTTGTTCCGTTTGATACGGCGGATCCTCAGCAATATTATCCTAATTACCGTCGATCAATCAGTGCTTCATCTACTTAACAGGCATTGCCTTCACGACGCTACAAGGACCTACCTTTACAGGCTATTCGTCGAGCATGACCCTTATCGGCAGGTACTCCATCTCCCACAGGTACATCTCATCAGTTATATATCTACCATGAGAATTGGAGATTCTAGTAGCGAGTAGTCAGATGCTATGGCCGGTACGCCTCCATTGACTCAGCGTTTTGTGCATCCTGATGTATCACCCTTGTCTACAGCTACACCTAGTGCTACACCAGATGATGCGATGCCTGCTCTAGCTCCTGGCCAGAAGGACAGACTTGGTAGAGTCATGATTGAGCCAGATGGATCATCGTAAGTTTGTTTTGTTATCTATTTGTTAGTTTATTTTATTTATTTCTTATACTTTAATTAATTATTTATGAACTAACATATTTATTATGTGTTTTGCATGTGGCATCCTGCAAAGGATGCTGCCCGGGCTTTAAAAGACTGTGTTAGAAGACTCTATACACAGGCTTATCACTCTTGGAGCGAGATTCTAAATAGTATACGCCAGGCAGTGTTTAATAACTTTAAGGTATATATTTTTTAGTTAAGTTTAGTATACTTTACTTTTTTTACTATCGATCTAATTAACGTTATTTTTTCAGACTATGTGTACTTGGGAGTCGAGGTACAATTTGGTCATTGGGACCACATTTGAGAGGAAGGCATCCGCCAGACTGTCTAGCTGGCTAAAGAAAGTTTGGGATAGTGGTAAACGTTTCGGTTGGATGTTGCCTCATGTTTTTGATGAATTGGGTCAGTATTGGAACACATACAAGTTTAAGGCAATATCAGATCAAGCAAAAAAGGCTAGAGGCAGTCTTAAAGGTGGCTCATTGCACACCAGAGGTGCAAAGACGGTTGGAACAATTGCACAAGAGATGGTAAGTTCTAATTCAGACTTTTAAATAAATAATTAGTTGATTCATATATATCGTTATAAATTTCAGTTTTTATTTATAGGAAAAAGAATTGGGATGCACTCCCATTAAATCGGAGGTTTTCAAGAAGACTTATGTCAGGAAGAAAGAAAATGAGTCGGATCCGGATGTGTGGGTGAAGGAAAGGGCTGAACGAACTTTTGTAAGTTATTTAATATGAATAATATATATTAATAGTGAATATATTTATGATATGTATATATATTGATGTCAATTTTTATATTTAATATGCAGAATGACTTTCATCAGTACGTCGCTAAGAATCTAGATAGTTCGGTCCAATTGACACCTAAACTTTCCACCTAGATTTGAAAAGAAAAAGTGGTAGGGGGGACACACAAGGGTAGAGTCTATGGTCTAGGCTCTCAAAACGATGTAAGACGACTCCAGTTAGGCTTAGAAGGTATTGGATCATCACGTCAAGCTGAGGCACTTGACGGTGTTAAGATTGCTGCTATGTCGGATCAAATAGCTAAACTTACAGCGGCACTAGCAGAGTCGGAGCGGAGAAGAGTATGTGAACAAGAAAACATGAGTGAGACCGTTCAACAAATCAAAGAACAAGTGATGAACCTCGTTCGTCAACCTACTACTTCGACTCCCGATGACACCAACGACAAGAGTGATGAGGATGATTATGTAGATCTCATTCCCTAGTTTAGATCTCTGGACATTTATGAACTTTTTGAAATTTTGAACGAATTTTGAAAGACTTTATAAGTCTTTAATTTGTGATTTAGATACTTTTGAATGTTATTTTAAGTTTGTTGTTTTATGTTTTGTTTAGATTGTTTATAATTGTGTGTGTTTGATTGGGCGAAATAGTGTAGAATTGAATTGAATTGCATTTGCAGGTGGGTAGCAAAAACTGTCAATTTCTACTATCAAAAATAGTGCAGGAAAAGCGACGGACAGCGTGGTTTTGTCCGTCGCTTTTCAGGGATTTTCAAAAATAAAATTTCCAGAAAAGTGACGGACTGCATCGCCTTTTAGAAATAAAAAAAATTAAAATTAAAATTAAGCTACGCAGTCTATGGCTTTTTGAAAAGCGTCGAGCTAAAAAGTGACGGAGGTGACTGCGTCGCTTTTCCGTCGATTTTGACCAAAAAAGCGACACAGTCCGTCGCTTTTGGCCATCGTTTTTTGACAGTTTTTTAATAGTGAGAGAGTATTATCTTTCAATAATCAAAAACAATATAATTTTTCAAATTGCTCTTTGCGTACCCTTAGTGAAATACATTCTCCGTCAACGTTCACTGGTTCATTATACCAAAAATAGATGTCCACTTTAATTATTTTAATTTTAAAAATTAAGAAATAATTTGTCATTTAGTTCCTTATTTACCTTTATTATTAACTATAGTCATTTCCTAACGAAAGAAATGAGTAATTCATATACTCAAATACAAATTTGAAAAAACTCCCTTCTTCCTTTTTAAACTCTATATATTTAATAAAATTTTGTAACGTAAATTCAAATAGAAAGAATAGTATAAAAAAAAATTAAAAACAAGGGAGAGGAGGAGATTACAATTACCTTAACACTGTTGGGTTCGAAAGGGTGATTAGGGCATCATGCGGAAGCTTACAATTGCAATCAAGACGGTGATAAATTAGATGACAATAAAGCGATACTAAAACATAATATTATTAATATGAAAACTAATTTAAAAGAAAAAATATTATAACTGTTGAGAGATTAAATCTCCCCATAAACAAAATTCACTAAACGACTACATTATGGATTCTATTGTGTTATGCTATGAGAATAGGGATCTTCAATTTATAGATCTCCAAAATATTCCTCTAAGGAAAGAATAAACCAAATATGGAAGAAAATTATATTTTCCTTTTAGAAAAAGTTCAAGCATTTATGGTAATACTTTGACTTTTCTTTAAGAAAAAAAAAACTTCAATTAAGGAAAGAAAATCATGGCAAAACCCTAACAAATCTCCCCTTTTGGCTGGATTTTCTTGACAAAA